TTGTATTGATGGTTCTCTGTATATGATGAAGTCATTTTTCTCTTGCTGCTTTTAAGTTTTCTTCTTGCCTTTGGTATTCAACGGTTTGAATATGATGCATCTAGGTGTAGATACCTTTGTATTTATCCTTTGTAGACTTTGTTGAGCCTCTTGGATGTATAGACAGATTAATGGTATTTTTTAAATAACATTTGGGGAGATTTTTGCCATTAGTTTTTCAAATATTTTTTTGCCCCTTTCTCTCTCTCCTCTTCTCCTTGGACTCTTATTACGTGTAGTTGACGTGCTTGATGTTGTTTTACAGGTCTCTGAGGCTCTGTTCAGTTTTTTTCAATCTCTCTGTTTTTCAGATTGAGTAATTTCTATTAATCTATCTTCAAGTTCACTTATTCTTTATTCTGCCATCTCCAATCTGCTACTTAGCCAATCCAGTGAACTTTTCATTTGTTATTGTACTTTTCAACCCCAGAACTTTCATTTTGCTCTTTTTTCACAATCTTTTTCTCTATGCAGTTTTTTTTTTTTTTTTTTTTTAAACATTCATGTTTTTATTTTCAAGCTTAGCTTCCTAGGAGGTTGCCCTTTATCTGCATAACTTAGTGATCAGCCAATCACTAGACTTCTGCCCTCTGCTGTTAGATCTGTGTCTACGTAGGGGAGTGCATTCCATGTTCAGGCCATTTTCAAGTCTACACTGGCTTTTACTTTTTGATGAGCCCTTTCTCATCTCCTCTGCACATGCATGCAATCTCACAGTTGGGTAGGAGTGTGTGAGTAGCTTTGACTCTCTCTGGTCTCTGCTATGCATGTATGCAGCCTCCGGTCAGCCAGAAATATGCTTGCTACAGCCACAACTGCAACTTCAGGCTAGGAGAGCCATTGGTTCTCCCTGCTTGCATGGCGCTGAGATCATCAGTTCTACAGATGTTTTAGGCATGGGTATCACACACCACTCCAAACAGTGAATCCCCCTTCAACCACAACAGCTTGCTCATCCTCTTGCTCTGTCCTGCCTTGACAGAACATACATAATGACTGAGATGGGGGAGGGAGGGAAATGGGAACGGCCCCAGGCTCCACTCTTTTACCTCAAGTTCAGCAGTTTTCCAAGCGTAAACCCTTCACAGATTGTTGTATGTTGTCTGTTTTTGGTCAATTTCTGGAGCACCAAAATAGTTTTTGTCAATTTTTTTCAGCTTTATCGTTGCTTTTTGGGAGGAGGATTTGCTTACCTCCTCACTTGGCTATAGCAGGTGACTTTATCTCACATACTTAGGACGTGTTATTAGGAGGGACCAGTCCCTGGAGGACATCATGCTTGGTAGAGTCAGTGAGCGAGAGGAAGACCCTGAATGAGATGGATTGACACAATGGCTGCAATGGGCTCAAGCATAACAACGATCATGAAGATGGCGCAGGACCAGGCAGTGTTCTGTTCTGTTGTACACAGTTATGAGTTGGAACCAACTCGACGGCACCTAACAATAACAACAAATTCTTATCGTTAGTTGTAGGATTTTCATTTTCCCAATGCCCATTCATTTGCACAAGATAATATTTTTAAAAGTGCACAAACACTGCTTTAAAGACTAAGATGGCATTCTGTAGAGGTTGGGATGTTGTGATCATTAGTGATCACAACAGATGACAGTCCAGTTCTAGTTGTGTCAATGCATAATCGATAGTCTATGAAAAGTTGAATATGAAAAAATAAGGGACTACTAGCACAGAGGAAGAGGGAAGCACAGTATGTACCCTGGTCCCTGGTCAGTTCCTATTATCAGTCTTAACCATTTTGAACAGTGAGATCACCAGTTTGCAGTGGGCTACTTGGACAGTTTTGACAGGAGGGCAGTCCTTTTCCAACTGAGGCATTTATCTTCTTCCTCTAAGTCCCAACTTCTCCAGTTCAGTTACCCAAATCATAATTAAAGATTCAGTTCTTTCAGCTTGAGAAATGCTGAGCATGTTCTTCCTTTTTGGTTTTCTAAGTCCAGGTCTTTGCACATGTCTTTATAATACTTTGTCTTCTCGAGCCACCCTTTGAAATCTTCTGTTCAGCTCTTACTTCATCATTTCTTCTTTTCACTGTAGCTACGCAACATTCAAGAGCAAATTTCTGAGTCTTAAGGACATTAAGAATATAGGTCTTACGAATTTGAGACAGACCTAGGAATCATTAGATTATTGAACTGAAGTCACCTGTGAAGGGTTAGTATTGTGGGAGGGTTGGGGTGGGACTTCTGGGGGCCTGGAGCCTTATTCTTGGGAGGGGTTGCATTTTACTAGATATTTGCATTTTCAGCAAGGCTTTAATAATTCTGTAGTTATGTGTGTTTTTCATATTGAATACCATTTTTGTTTTTGTCATCTCACGAAACTAAAAGTGTTCAATAGTTAGACTGTAAAACTTTATTTCTTGCTGAGGCCTTCAGTGATTTCATCATAAAATTGTAAAATAGCACAATTGGCCTCTCATGCTGTCATACTCTACATGTCTCATAACTATGTAGAAGGTCTTTTCTCAAACAAAGTTCTTTTGCATGTGTGTGTTTCATGAAAAAGGATAAGCTGGTTGCTACCACAAAAGATTGATTTCTCTAAATTTATTTTTACTTTTATCGGCTTTATGGTTTGACAATCAAATGATCTTTTTACTGTTTTTCATAAATATAAGATTAAAATACCAGTAACTTCTCTCAACTGCTCTAAAGATGAATATCTTTACTTGGGCTACTATAGACTTGGCTTATTATAAAAACAATTCTTTTTTTAGAACACAGGAAAACAAAGTACCTGGGTAAGAAATATATTCTCGAACCCAGAGGCCATTAAAATGAGAACTAATTTGTCGTTGTTAGGTTTCCTTGTGAATGAGAAAATATTTTTCCTCTTTTTCTATTCTCTAGGGTTTCCTGTATTCTATCATGCTGCATCGGGCAATTAATTTTAACAAAGCATTCCAACTGGTCGATGACTGAATTAATATTTCACCCGTGAGCCCCCTTGGATGTATACATTGGTAACTTTAGAGTGGAGAAAACTGGCAGACAGCACGTTACTCCAGTGAACAAAGTCAGCCTCACCAGTGATTGGACAAACTGATCTTATGCACCATCGGATGGGCTGCAGCATGAAGAGCACAATATTTCTGTGATACTCCTGCTAAAAACATATGACTTGAATGTAATCATGAGAAGACATTAGATAAATCCCACTGGAGGGATGCGCTACAAAACAACTTTCCTGCCATCCTCAAAAATATTACAATCGTAAAAGTCAAGGGAGGACTAAGGAATTGTGCCAGACTGAAGGAGACTGAAGAGGCTAAGCACAGTTTGTGATCCTGGATTGGATCATTTCGCTATGAAGGACATTATTGAGATGGTGGAATTTAAATAGGATCTCTGAGTGAAGGGTATATGGGAGGTTTTTGCAATTTTTCTATAAATTTGTAATTATTAAAAAAGATGAAACTGACTCCCTCCCCCACATCCTCATTTCAGTGACTTAAACTTTTTTTTTTTTAACTACAAAAGAATGATGCTGTCTTTGACCATTTAAACCACAGCAATAAAGGAAAAAGCAAAAGTCCTCCTTCCTCTCCAAGTTCTATTTTCCAGGGATCACCTCTGTTGATAATTTGGTGTACTTTCAGATTTTACAAAAATACAAAAGTTTTTTGTTTTTACAGAAGCAGGATCCTGTGTATATTACTTGATCTCATCCTTCATAATAGCCACATAGTATCCCATTGTATGGATCATCATTTATCCATTCCTGTATTGATGGCATTAGGTAATTCCCAATTTTTCATTAAAAATCAGGTTGCAATGAGCACCCCTGACTGAACATTTGTCTTTACACATTTATGCTAGTATGTCTAGAGAACAGATTTCTAGAAGTGGAATTGCCAGGTCATAGATTTTCCATGTTCTCCAATGTTGATAGATTCTGCCAAATTTCTCTCCAAAAAAGTTGTATTAATTTACTTTGCTACTGATGGTGATTGAGTAAAAATTCTCCACTTACCAACACTGTATGTTAGATTTTCCCTCTGTGAAAGGAAAAATGAGACTTTTTGAGTGTGGTGCTGTGGAACATACGCTGGGCTTCTTAACAAAGGATATGGGGTTGTATTCTACATCTGCCAGTTTTTAGCAATGTTACTTTCTCTGCCAGTGACCTTTTTAATGAGAACTTCACCACCTATATTACAAGGGTTGTAATGGTCAAATGAAATAACCAATTCAAAAACATGTCTGGCAATCATTGTCATGAAGTGGGAACGAGCCATTAATGGAGGAGGATTCTGGCAAGATGGTAATGGAGTAAGAATTCAGTTGGCTACGGGGTCCCAGAAGAGGGATGTGTGATGCAAGTACAAATTGTTCAGGGCTCTAAGCAGTAATCTAGTTAGGTCTCCACTGCCTGCTCAGAGCTGGCCGGGAAGAAAAGCAGGTCTACAGCGCCATCTCTGGCTGGCGTTTCATTGCAGCCACAGGGAGGAAAGAGAAAAGAACTTGACCAGTGGCCCAGCTTTAGTTCTAGCCCTGCAGACAGTTACTCATCTTCCAGGTAATTAAAGGCCACTCCCTTTGTCTTACAGCTGAGAGAACCGAAGCCAAATGAATTTCGATTGTTTGCTCAAGGTTCTCATGTGGTGAATGGCATGCTCGTGTTAGCGCTCAGGGCTTCCAGCTCTATCCTGGTGCAATTCTGCATCAACCGTTACACATCTGTTAGTCTTGTCTCCCTCAGAGAGACTGAGATTCTGATGGAAGGTGCTACATCGTATACATTATCTCTTTTGAATGCCTGAAGAGAGCTAGCAGAGAACTGTGAACACAGTAAGTACTCAGAAAAATCCATGCTGAAATGAATTAAAAAAGATTCAATATCTTTGGTTTATTATTGGATATGAGTCAGAATCAACTCCACGGCAACGGGTTTGGTTTTGGAGCCTTGATGGTGCAGTGGTTAAGCGTCTGTCTGCTAATCAAAAAGCCAGCAGTTCGAATCCACCAGCCACTCCTTGGAAACACTATGGGGCAGTTCTATTCTGTCGTATAGGATTGCTATGAGTTGGAATGGACTTGACGGCACACATCAACAATTAGAGGAAGTATGGGAAGCTAAGGCAGGCTGAAGGGACTTCCTCTAGGAAAATGCTGGAGAGCACCGTAGAATCCAGAACACACTGTATACTCGGTCCATTCCCCAAAGGCCAATGACTGGCAGATTTAAAAATGAGTCAAGGAATTGGAGTCTTCTGAGGTGCAGATTTTGGATTTATTTGAACTGATTGATAGTATGTAACAGTATAAAACGTATTTCCTTAACAATCACCAACCCAAACCCATCACCAATGATTCGATTGTCCAGGAAAGGAGAGCGCCCCTAGCCTTGTCTACATAATACAACACCTGCTCCCAGGGCCATGTGTAATCCTCACTGCGCCACATCACAAGGCAAGGCGTGCTCCTTACACTGGCACCATGGCTCCTGTCTCAGTGGGTTTCTTTCTTCCCATGTCTATGTTTGGCTGGGCTTTCTTAATTAATCCCAAAGGCAGAGAATCTAAATGACAGATTCTCCATAATTTGATCTTGTACTTTAAGTTACACCACTTCTAGGACTAACAGACAGTTAAACTCAACCTATTGCTTCTCTTAACAGTGAATCTGGGAAGAATGGCTGGCTCTAACCACAAGAGCAGGGGTCAGATCCCCCTCTGGCCCTCAGTGCAGACCAAGGTGGAGGAGCAGGAAAGGAAGGGACTTGAGTCCACCTGACCTGAACTCAAGTCCTGGCCAAAATTTTTACCAGCTGGGTGCCTACAGGTGGGTCACTTAACCTCTCTAAGCCTTGGAGCCTTCATCTCTCCATCACATCATCTAGTGCTAGAGGCAGAGTGGTCCATCTGCCAGCATGCTGAATGAGCTAATGTGACTTTTGAAAACCGTAACATGCCGTACGTGGCTAAGGTGCTTTGAGGCAGAGGAAGAGGAAAAAGAAAAGGGGTTAGATAGTAGGATAAAAGAAAGGGACGGTGAAAAGTAGAAAAGAAAGGGGCAGGGTGAAGTGATGGAGCCAACAACAGCTGACCAGGCACTGCTGCCTCTGAGCATGAGGGTCCTGGGCACCACTTCTGTGCTCGGGTTAGGGCTTCAATGATGACATTGGCAGTTGAGTTCCCTTGTCCTCTGAACTATACAGAGAATGGAGCTGGTCATTAGACATGGCCAGGAGCCAGCCATTGGAAAAGCTCCTAGGAAATCAATACTCAGACTGATTATCACGACGGCTACCATTTACATGATTTTAATTCACAGGATCACGTTTAAAGCCTCTAAATCTTCGCCTCATCTCTGGACAGGAAACAGGCTGCTGAGGAAGTTCCTATCTCAGTCCTGGCACAAGTCATGTCTTCATACTTCCTTAAGCCACAGAAAACTTGAACCAGGTGGTGTGGTCATACTCCTCACCAGGCCTCAGCAGCACAGGAGGGAAGTTGGGCTGTGAAGGGGAAAACAACACAGGTTACACCCGGCCAGCCCAGGTGGCACTATCACCCATTCAGGAATTCAGGACATGCTTCTGGACTGGACTGGATTCTAGACCAGTGCTAGATCAGTATTCTATAGACCAGTTGCCAGTGCAGGAGCCATTTATTACTGACATGTAATGAGATAAAAAGCCTGAACCAGAATGAAAATCAACTACATCACTAAGCAAGACTTTCTTGATAAAGGAAGCAGTGTGTTGATTTACATTCTGGTGCAAGCTTCTTATCATGGACCGGCACTTTGCGGAGGATTACTCCAGTTGATAGCTAGAAAAAAATGTTGTGAGTGAATAGGAAGAGAAGATATGAAGAATCTTCTTAAAAGTGTGGGTGCAGAAAATGACTAGGTATTGATGAACAGAAACATTAAATTGAACAAAGGCTTTGGAGGTTTTTTTTTTTTTTCTTTTTAACCATGCTAGTAGCTTGGCCAGGGGTTTCCTGTGTTTATCATGTTTTAGAGAGGAGAACAAACACGGATTTTTGAATGATAGGGAACCGGCTTGAGTGTCGTGACCTCTGTGATACAGTGTGGCCTTGGACACGCACCACTCTGACAAGGCAGCCTGTGGCTTTACCTGATTGACTGCATTGGGCCAGTTCTGGGTCTCGAGGCACAAACCAGAGTGCTTGGGATAGACTGCTCCACTCTTCCCCTTGATCGTGCCATCCAGAAAGTTGCCTGTGTAAAACTGGACGCCGGGCTGGGTGGTGTACACTTCCAGTACCCGCCCACTTCCAGCATGACGGACCCTGAGGATAAAGCCAAACTGCCTGTGAGTTCAGGGCAGAAAAGCAGGCAGGGAGGGTAGACGCTGGGAAGCAGCTTTGAGACAGGAACCAGGGCCAGCCACAGCATGGGGCAAGGTGTGAGGAGACGACAAAGGGAGGAAGAGCATGATGGAGGATTCTCACAGCCTCACAGGTGAGGCGTGAGCAGCTGGTTTTCAGGATCCTCAATAGCAACTTCTCACTCTGATCTTGGCTTTCAGAAAGAACAAAAAAGAATCTCCCCAGCCAGATATGGATGGTGGGGGATGGCCAGGTTGGAGAGAGGCAGTTTAGGGTCCTGGAGGGGCTGGGGTTCTTATAAAGAGCTGGAATGCTCTGTATGACCTGCTTTGTGAAACAGAAGAAATGTTTTTCCTAAATTAAACTGTTCCCCTCCCTGCAGCTTGAACAGGCTGCTTTTAGTTAGACCGCTCCCCAGAACAGTCCTGCTGTGGGTTTCCACTAGATCCACTGTTTCCTTTTGAAAAGTAAAAATAAAGCCTCTACAGAGGGGAGAACTTGCCCAGCACTGTACTTGGTATCGAAAGGATATAGATAAAGAAATGACAGGGTCTTACCATCTCACCAAGAGGCAAAACACATGCATGACATAGTTAAACTATCCCCACAATGTGTTGTCAACCAAGGGGTTCAGGGGAAGATGCTGGGGAAAGGGAGGTCCAGGATTTAAATAAGTGGAGAGATGGCAGGAGGGTGCCCTCAGGTGGGGACAGTGAGGACAGAAAGGTGACTAAGGAAGAAAGTGGGCTAGAGCTGGAGAAACAGAGCCTGGATGGGCTGGGGCCTTGGTGCTGGGGCTCAGAGGGAGAGAAAGTTCTTTCTGTTTCCTTTAGAATTTGAATCCTTTTTCTCTGCTATATTTAAAATCCATTCATTCAACAAACATGTACTGATGGTTTGCTAGCGCCAAGCATGGTACTGGTGTTAGGATACAGGTAGGGACTCACCAAGATGGAACAGCATGAGGAACTTGGAGTTTAGTGAGAAGGTAAGAGACTGCAACACAAATGCCTATCAAACAAGGCTGGGGCTGGCGAGTGCTCTCCAGGGAAGTAGACAGGGCATAAATCATACCTCAAGAAACCACAAACGGCTCAGGGGGTTCAAGCAAGGCAGAGGTGGCTTCAGTCAGGGGGAATTACGGCTTTTAACAAAAAATGGGCCTTAAAGAACAGGCAGAGATGAGAGAGAGGGAGCAAACAGAGAAGGGATTGCAGGCAGGAGGCACAGGAATAACAGCATGGCGAGGGAGGGGTATGATAAGTTCCACAGAGCTCTCCTGTGGAATGGGAGCTCTGAAAAGACACAGGATGTAGTGCGTTGGGTGGAGCAAATGGTTAAGCGTTCAACTACAAGCCAAAAGACTGGCAGACTGAACCCACCCAGAGGCACCTTGCAAGATAGCCCTGGCAAACTGCTTCCAAAAGGTCACAGCCTTGAAAATCCTCGGGAGCACAGGTCTACTCTGCACAGCTGCCATGAGCTGGAATCGACTCAACAGCAACAAACAACAGCAGCGAGGTAAATGCTACCGATATGGCCGGAGGAGAAGCTCCTCCTTACTACAGAGGCAGTAAATGAAAAGGACCTGACCTTGCGCAAAACTGCTTTTCTTTAGTTCTCTTCAGACAGAAATTGTGGTCAAAGCCATTGATGTGGGACTCTTGCAGGTGTTTTCCAAGCTCCACTGGCTTCCTCAGGTCAAATGCAGTTCCTTGCACTGGAGCAATTTCTCCTGGTGGGAAGGGGCAGAAAAAAGAAGTTGATAAATACCCAAATCAAACGTTCGTACACAATGTCCTAAAGACTCACTGGTTCTGCTGTCTCAGCTTTCATGTCTATTTGTAAAGGAGATGGGGAACCAGATCCTAAGATCCTAAAAAGGAGAATGAACTACTGGATTTCTTTCATTATAAGGTGCTATCGATTGCAAGATGCAGTAGCTATACCATGTATTCTAATTTAAGAATCATTCAAGTATGAAGATGTACAAAAATCAAGGAAACACCATCTCCATTCAGGGCTAAGTTGGATAAAGGGTGATGGTATTCTTACCATCTTACCATATGTAAACAAAATAGTCATTCCCTTTGTTGACATTTCTTGCTTTGGTGTTGCAATATCCCAGGGATCATAACCAAGCATTAGTACCTACAGTGGCTAACCAGAGACTAACAAAGTTTCTGATGTTAGTGACTCTCAAACCATTTTGAGCCAAAGGTACACTGGCAGCCACTCTGGCTCTCCAGTTGCCTCCCTGATCAGCCTGTAGACACTGTCCAAAGGGTATCGGGAGCTAGTCACAATAACACTGGGACAAATGAGTTAATTGGGACAGCCCAGGGAAAACTGGGATATATGGCCATCAAACGATATGCCAATTTCAGATTCAATCCTTTGAATGAAAGCTTTATATCTCCAGGAGTGATTCCTGGAGGAGTTATAGCCAGGCAATCACTGCTTCCTTGTGTCTGAGCCAGATTCTTCAAGCTCTAGGTGCAGTATATTTTTTCTTATCACGGTGGGTTGTCCTGGAGCCTCTTCACAATGACGTGGGTGGATGGTGAGCCCTGAGGGAGGACACTGCAGTGTGGGGACCCTGAACTTTTACAGGGCAAAGCACAGAAGAACTGGACCGGGATCCTATCCTGGCAGTCATTACACAGCCACTGCCCCGTCAGGAACATCCCTTCATGGCGTCACAGAACTCAAGGGTGTTGGGATGGAAGGGTTCTCACAACTTCTCTGGCCCAAACTGCTCATGTAACACATGGATGAGGAAACTGAAACCTACACAACATATCATTAAACAACAACTATGATGCTGATACACGGTATTTCATCAGTTGAAGACACTCATTTTCATATTTTAACATCTTTGAAATTGTGCCATGGTTTAACTGACAGAAGTTTTTCTTTCTTCATGGTATGTAAAATAATGGTGAACCTTACAACTGATAGCACCTTAGGGTAGATAAAATATATAAATAAAATAGTTTGCTACATCTTCTGTTTTACTATAACCCCAAGCAAGTAATCAGAGCTCTGAGGGAGAAAAAGAGGAATTGGGATTGTTTTGGGGAGTCATTTCAACCAGAAATTCAAGGGCAAGAGATCATTTGTCAGCAGAGAGTCCTTTAGACTCACTTGTCGAAAGGCTGTAATATGGTTTAACATTCTTCTGAAAAAAGTGGCATTTTGCTTTACCACTTCATTCTCTTCCTAACTTTTGGTCCTGTTCTTATCTAGATGCGAGGTCTAGCCATTTCAAATAGGGTACACAAATATCTTGGATTTAGCTCAGTTAAGGAAGCCATGGGGAATACAGAAAACCAGCATAACTGAGGAAGCCCACAGAGCAAACCAGAAGGTTACTCTAAGGCACCATTCCTTCCTCCCTGCTGACATGTTCTCAGAGTGTCAGTGCCAGACTAGGAGCCATCAGTCACTCAGTCACTCTTTTGCTCAGTCAATAATTATTAAATACCTACGTGGTGGTTAAGTGCTATGGCTACTAACCAAATGTTGGCAGTTTGAATCCACCAGACACTCCCTGGAAACTCTATGGGGCAATTCTACTCTGTCCTATAGGGTCACTATGAGTTGGAGCCAACTTGACGCCAGTGGGTTACTGTATGCCAGACGCTCAGATAGGTGGGGAAACTTTGTAGATTAATGAGACTGGCACCTACCCTTAAGCTGCTTATAGTACAAACAGTACTTAATCATAGTGTGAAGAGTGCTCCAGTGCACGTGTGTAAAAAGCGCTATAAGAAAGAGGATAGGCAATGGACTTGGTTGGCTTAGGGGGAGGTGGATGCGAGATTTCATGGATGGAATTACAGTGGTTGGGCTAAGGACTGAGGTATAAGAGTATTGGGATGAAGGAGTCCTTGGGTGGCGCAAATGGTTAAGCGCTTGACTACTGGCCAAAAGACTGGCGGTTTGAATCCACCCAGAGGCACCTTGGAAGACAGGCCTGGCGATCTGCTTCAGAAAGGTCACGGCCTTGAGAACCCTATGGAGCAGTTCCACTCTGCGCACATAGGGTCGCCATGAGTTGGAAGTGACTCGACGGCAATTAACAACAATAACAGATTAGGCTGAGAGGGCGTGGAAGACTAACGGATATTCCATGTGGAGGAAACAGCTTCAGTACAAGGTGATACGGTGTGTGTGTAAGCAGTGAGTGGAGAAGGAAGGGATGCCTCAGATGAGGCAGGAAAGAGATTAAGTTTAGATTATGAAGTCACTTCTCTGAACCTGGCTTTTGTCATCAGTACAATGAAGAAATTGGACTAAATCACTGACTTCCAAACTCCCTCCCCCTGTTCCTACAGAATTCTCTGTTTCAGAGGGAATCTTGGGAGGAAGCTCAATATACAAAACCACTAAAAGCCGGCAGAAGCTCTGAGCAACTTAGCTGAAGAACCTCAGGACTAGGTGATAGCAAAGGTCTATCCCCACCCTCCTAAAATTCTAGCCCACCCAAGAAGTGGCAGCCAGATCCTAGAATCTTGCACCAAGTTCAAAGGCTCCTGGGCTCCTCTGCAACAGGCCAAAGAGGTGAGGTGAAGAGGGATTGCCCTTGAGTGGGAAGAAGAAAAGGGCTCCGTTTTAGATCCTTCAATGATGATACAGTTCAGTCCTTTTTAAAGTTTCCTTACTGTTCCAGAACTGCATCATATATTTTTAAAGTAAGTACAAACTTTAGGTGTTTAACATATTCATTTAGGATGAGGATTACTTTTTCCTTTCATGTGGTCACATAGAGATATTTTAGGAACTTGGTTTCTACTATTTTTAAGAGAGACAGATAGCATGCAAAGGGGGGCTGAAATCTTAGGAGGTTAAGACAAACCAGAAACTTGTACTTGACTGTTAAAATAATTAAATAAATAAAAGGAGAACCAACAGACTGTTAGCCATTTAAAGCGTTTAGTTCTGGTTTTGTGGGTTCCTAAATGCTGAGAGGAAAAAAAATCTCCTATCTTTAGATAAAACAGGAGTCCTTTTCTTAAACTCAGTTCCTTTCAGGAAAGTTGCCTTCCTGGCACATGAGGGCTGGCGTCCTTGAGCTCCCACAGAGCCGTCAGGGTCCCTGGGGTACAAAGTGCCCAAGCAAGACACTGTGGCCTTGGCAATACCATCCTGGAGGCCAGGTATCCACCGTTCAGTCAAGAGAGTTTGGGAAGCACAAAAGAATCCCTTCCTTCTACCAGGGTCAGTTTTAGGAAAAATTAAATAGTATCCTTTCTGATACATCCTTTAAGAGCATCTATTTCCCTGGCCCTGGTTCTTCTTTTACAAAGAAAGAATTTTTGAATGTGTAATATTTGCATGACAGTCCCTGGGTGGTGCATAAGGTTAACTAGCTTGGCTGCCAACTGAAAGTTTGGTGGTTTGAGTCCACCCAGAGATGCCTCATAAGAAAGGCCTGGAGATCTATTTTCCAAAAAAGCAGCCATTGAAAACCCGAAAGAGCTCAGTTCTACTCTGATACACATGGTGTCAACTCCACAGCAACTGGTTTTAATATTTGCCCATGTGTGATGGTTAAGATTGTGTGTCAACTTGGCTGGGCCATGATTCTCTGTGTTGTAATGTAATCACTCTCATGATTGAATATACTGTGAGTAGCCAATCAGATGAAAGGGAGTCTCCTTAGGGGTGTGGCCCGCATCTGTATATAAGCAGATGTTCTGGCTTTTTGCTCTCTCTGGATCCTGCGGCTACTTCCTGTCGTCTCATCTCCCGTTCTTGGGACTTGAGCTGTCAGCTTATCTGCCGAACCTGGGATTCGTCGATCTGCACAGCCTGTGAGTGGGAGACCTGCCGATCTTGGACTTGCCAGCTTCCGCAGCTGTGTGACTTGGGAGAGGCCTCTACCCTGATCCACGGACTTGGGACGTTCTAGCCTCTACAATCACGTGAGCTATTTCCTTGATATAATCTCTCTCTATATACATATTTATACACTTTACTGGTTTTGCTTCTCCAGAGAACCCAGCCTAAGACACCATGTCATCAATTTAATAGAGCCCTGGTGACCCAATGGTTAAGCACTCAGCTGCTAAATGAAAGGTCGATGGTTTGAACCCATCAGAGACTCTGCAGGGGAAAAGCCCTGGCAATCTGCTTCCATAAAGATTACAGCCTAAGAAACCCTATGTAGCAGCTCTACTCTGTCATATAGGGTTTCTATGAGTCAGAATCCACTCTATGGCACACACGACCACCAACAATTTTAAAGGTAACAAACGTAAAACATACAAAAATACTATATAGTTAAAAGAATTTCTCTCATCTTTGTTCCCCACATATATAATTTCCTTCAGAAAAAACCAGAAGCACCCATTGTTTTTTCTTTCCTGGTTTCTCATGTACTATTCCAGAGATATTCCAAGGATATCCAAGCACCTAAATGTACACTCATACATGCAAATATAGTACACCTGTTTCTACCTTACTCTTTTCACTCAATATATCTTGGAGGTTGTTACTAGATTTATTTTGAGGCACTTCATTAGACAATTCTATATAAACTCATATTTTTCTATATTTTTTCTGTGACAATTTGTCCATTTAACATTTCTTTTCAAGAGCCACATTTACAAATTTATATTTTCCTAGCAAATTATGATCCTTTTAATTTCATCTGTCTGTGGTTATTTCCCTATGCTCATTTCTTATTTTGTGTATTTAGTAGGTTAGCTAATGCTTGATTTATTTTTT